TCATAATATGTATGCCGCCTCATCCCAGCCAGGGATTACACTACTGTAGCTCGCAGGTCGTGTGACGTCTGTAGTCATTTCACAACGCATTGACCCTTTGCAAGCATAGCGTTAGCATTTTTCAGAGCGAATGAGCCACAAAAATGAATAGGAAATCAGCGTAAATCAATAGACTGCACCAGTAGCGCAGTGCAAATGATTCGCCAAAGAAACAACTTCTCTCCGCTTACTTGCTTTAACATGGCGACCATTAACCTCGCCAAAGATGCAGTGCAAGCATCGCGGTGATCATGTCTTGAGGTCATGTATATTTCAGCCAATTATAGGTGTGCAATATGGAGTAGGATGCGTGGCCTACGATTTCGCAAAACCGCTCGCTACTTGGCCCGTTATATGAGTTATTGTATGGTCATGAAGTTTGGTAAATGCGAAAATGTAGGCCAGCTGTCCTACGTCTCTCTTGATTGTTGTACAGTATATCTGGCCTACAAAATCTGATGAATGAACTCACGCCAGCATCAGCAAAATTCTCATGTCAGTCATCCCCCGATTTTTGCATCAGTGGTACAGTAGAGGGGTGCTGGATGAAAGGCTATACGAAATCAAAGGTTCGACGCGTCCGAAAATCCACCAATGTACCCGACACCCGACAATAAATACCCGATATTTATGACTAAATAAGGTAATTCTTGCTCACTAAACTAACGTGTACTGTTAAGCTTTGCGGTCAAATATCGGACATCAATTACTCGAACAAGTTACGGCTATGGAACGGAGATGATGACAAGAAACTTTACACACGAAGTTAATCTAAGTGCTAAGAATCAAATCAACTGACATCGGATTGCCGATACGCAACTTGTCAAACGCAAACATCAACGTCTCAGAGGGAACAATACCGGTATGCTTCCAACAATTTTGAATTGTCGCAGTCGTAACATCCACCCACGCCTCGTGACCACGTCATTGCTGGTTGTCGATCGCGAGCTGATGCGCTCGTATCTGGGCCTTTTGACCCAAGTTAGGCGTGGGCGATTGCTTGGCATACACCACAGGCATTTGATTGTGAAGGTGGGGTCTGCAATCAATCAGCGTGGATTGGCGTGGATTGGCGCGGATTGGCTGTCGTTTGAATTTCAAATTGACCCACTTCTTGCTATATCCAATATCGTATCGCGTTACATAGGATATTATTTTATACAAGTTTGCAAAAATCGGGGGATGACTGTATATCGCACTCGCGAATACAGTGTTTGCCAGTAAAAGTCGACGAAAGTAGCACTACCATAAATAGGGGACTTTGTATGTAGAGTGATACTACTCGTCGACGTGGACGACTCAAAAATATAAAGACCATGTCACAACGAATCCGAGGTCGAATACTCTGATTGGCCTAAAATACATCAATTAAACGACGATAACAAAGATCTGATTGATACAATGGTTCAAGGGCAAGCGTAAGCGTTCGACGCGATAGTGCAGTGGTAAAACATATTGTGAGTCTTGAGTGAGCCCTGGGTTCATCCTTTCCAGTTGCTGGAGGGATGGCGTGCTGTTTGCTGAACTGGTTGTCGTTTAGGACATATGCATGAAACTCCTGCAGAAGCGCCTTGCGCTCAGCGTTCGTGTAAGGCCACTGCTGCATGGTGGCTGGCGCTGCCTTTCGTAGAATGCCATTTTGACATGGAAGTGTGAAGTTTCAAATTTCAAATTGAGTTGGGCCAATCGCAGCTGAGCATAATCTTTGATTGAAAATACCGTACAGTCAGTTTTATCCAATTGGATCTATTCGTTACGATCCCCAGGTTTCAAAAAAATTATTTTATTAGTCGACTTGTAAATGACCAATTATGACCACTGTACCAATTTATGATTACTCCTATTGAACCAATCACATCGCGGTATTTTTTTCTAGAAAGCCTCCAATCCATTACTAGTATACTGCTTGAACTCGATCGTTACCCACGCTAACCATGCCGAATCATCCGGACATTCGACTTGAAAATGGGTCATTGCCCTGCCCCGTAGATAACCTAAAATTGTTAATTGCTCATCACATGATACTAACGTTGGGTGCTTGTCAGGGAAATCACAGGTGTCGAAGAGGTCAGGTACATCGGGAATACGGTAGGTCTCTCTTCGACACAGACCTACCGTATTCCCCATGTACCTGACCCAAGCATTATCCATACCCGATACTTTCACGCGCGCTGATGCCATGGCTATGCGCATCATAGGCACTCGGCAAGCGAGACTACAGTTCTGTACTACCGTATAATCTATGTCCTTTTAGGTGGACAAGTCCTTTTAGGTTCCTGTATATATTTATATTTTTGAGGCTTGCCCCAACAAGTGCAACAGGTTTACCTTTCGCGCGACTACACTCTCCGTATAATTAATATAAACTCCTTCTCTTAATACAATATCAATTCGAAGGTTTATTGCGCGCACAATTGATGTGGTGGTCGGATGTCCATCAATGTCATTCTCCACTTGTCCAATGGAAGAACTCAAGAACTGGGTCCTCTGCGCTTTCGTGGGCACCCTGCTTTGAGAACCAGTCCCAAGAAGCCGCCAAACAAGTACAGCAACGTGCACGTTTCCTACAAGATGAAGCAAAGCGTCATTGACAGCTTCGACGAGGTCGGCATGGCAGCCACACTTGCCAAGCACTTTCCACAACTCAGTGGAAACCGACTCAATACGACAAGAAAGAAGGTGTATGGGTGGCTGAAGTATCGTGCTCATATAAGGGTAAAGGCTACTAATCGACGAACTTCTGACCATTTTTGCTCGCGTGACTTGGGCATGGCAACGACACTCCCCAGGGAGTACGAAGAACAACTTGCTCGTTGGGTCAACTCCATGCGTGAAGACGGCGTTCCAGTGATCCCAATCATGGCGTTGGAAACCGCCATTGACGGAAGAAGCACCCGCTCTTCTTGGTGTTGAAGACGGCCGCGTCGACGTTCAAGGCTGTTGTCCAAGAGAACCTGACGCAGCGGCTTGGCCTGGGGAAGCAAGTGTGGAAAGACGTCCAGCTGCTCCAAGATCGCTTTGGATGCCGCATCTACGGGAATCCAACTGCATGGTGGAACTCAACCATCAGGATGGACTTCCTACGGTACAACTTTGCCGGGCGCCCAGACCGCGCGACCAAGAAGGTTCTTCTGCTGTGGGACTATTTCTCCGCCCACTTTACTGATGAAGTGGTGGCGGTCGCGACGGAGCTGGACGTCCTCTTGGAGAAGATCCCGCCACGGTTCAAATGGATTTGCCAGCCAGCAGATGTCGCTTGGATGAGACCTATGAAGGCCCAGCTGCGAAAAATGTGGATTGACAGCATTCGCCGGCAAGTGCAGAACAGCAAGGCTCAGAAGACGACGTTCAAGTTGCAAGCGGCGAAGCGTCCAACACTGGTACGATGGATTACTGACTCGTGGACTGGGTTGCCAGAGTCTATTATTATGAATGGCTTTGGGAAGTGCAAGCTGGTCTCTCAGGTCACAGAAGCCGTCGAAAGCGAGGAAGAGTTTGTGTCTCCGGAGATTCTGTCCGACCTTGTGTCGATATCTGCTGTGGACGAAACGATTCATCCAACTGATGACATCAACAATAGTGTTCAACTTCTCTAAATAGAGTACCTGGTTCTTGTATTGGGATAAGTCAGAATTATAACTGTCAGACTTGAGGTACCTGTGCTATTTATTAAATAGATAAACCTCTTCAGTCACCGAGGGAGTGGTTCGCCTATCGAACTTGCTCAACGTGCAACTATTATTTTATCCAATAATATCGTACCAAAAGTTTAACGACTTGTGATTGGATAATAAAAATATTTTCCCATCGGCGGGAGTTAATTTAAATATGTGCCACACTTTTCATTCACGAATTGATGAGCTCCTTGTCAACCCTTCGGACTAAAAAGCGCGGCTACGCTATATCAGTCAAACTCGATGCACTTGCTATGATGGCAAGTATGTCGGACTACTAGGTATCCGAAAACCTTGGCATACCCCGGCGCACCATACGTTCTTGGTTTGACCAGCGCGATGAAATCACCGCCTTCCAAGGGAACAAGAAGCGAATGAAATTCAGCCCTGGTGGGCGCCGCGAGGTGTTCCCTGACCCCGAGGGTTTGGTCGACTTTATCGTCGAAATGCGAGTTCGTGAACGAGCATTGAGCATTGACAACAACTCACATTATCAACTGGATTAAGTGCTACCAGAGTCAGTGGTTTCGGCTCTATCTTGTTGACAAGCAAGCTGGCACTGGCTACCAAAGCCTGCTCCGTCTCCTTCAGCAGTTCTGCCACCGCCACGGTTACAGTCGTCAACGCGCCGGCCACCGCAAGAAGTCGCACGCTGCACTAGCTGAAGTCCGCGACGAGTTTGCCGAGGAGTTCCATCGCTTGTACAGCACCTTCCACGATGACAGCGTCTACAACGTCGATGAAACTGGGTTCCATTACGACATGCCTCCCAAGTACATCTGGTCGATCCGCGGAGGCGATGCCAAGGTGTCCTCTGGGGAGAAGCACTCCCTCCGTATGACTGTGGCCCTTACCGTGCGTGCTGATGGATCCAAGTTGCTGCTTCTCTTTGTCGTGCGGGGACTTCCAGGTGGCCGCATCGAGACGCACGAGCTTCCGACTTACCCTGCTGGCCACGTATACGCTGTTCAGCAAAAGGCTTGGATGGACAACAATGTGTGGAGACTGTACCTGCGCACCTTGGGTTGAGGCGCCGTCTGTCCTCTTGGTTGACAACTTCGAGTCTCACGTGAGTGATGAGTCCTACAGTATCGTTGAAGATGAGCTCAGCTGTCTGTTGGTTCCATTACCTCCAAACGCCACGTCCACGTGCCAGCCATTGGACGTAGGGGCCATGACGCCGTTCAAACGCTTCTTGCGTGACGAGTGGTTGGCCGAGGAAATCATCGATGGTGAGGATGGAGACGAGTTTGACTCACCTTGTGCTGCGCAAAAGCGTCTCGCAATGATCAACAGGGCGATCCGGGCGTGGGAGAAAGTCAGTGAAGACGTCATCCGCGAGAGCTTTGCCAAAGCGATTCCAAGTGCTTAAACGACAGCCACTCTTTGCCATTCTTTTTAATTGTGAAATTAATATAGGTTTGAAAAGGATTGTATTGGAATTTGTACATATTTTTATAAAATATCTATATTTAAATAAAGGGGGGAAAAGTTCGACACTGACCGGGGCTCGAACCCCGGTCCCCTTCCTCAATCTACTTGGATGCCGTCGCACTAACCATTGCGCCAACCGCGATACGTCGGCAGTCGAGCTGCCATGGCGGATGGAGAGGCGGTCACGTGCCTACACGTTGGATATCGTCTTTAATGTGCATGCGTAAAGCCGAGCAGTTTGTGTGATACATCCATGTGGCAGTTCTCCATCCACGCTTCTTTCAAGAAGCGTTTCGTAGATGGATTGCCTCTGGCCATCGGTGAGCTTCTTGTTGCCAGTACGGGGGGTCCCGACATTTGGGGAGCGCGGCGACGGCATAGATGCAAGTAAACTGGTGTGAACAAGAGGGGGTCTATTGAGTGTGACGGTCGAAAGTTGAAAATGAAACCTCAGCGAGTTGTTTTGTATGCCAAGTTCTGATGCAACAACTTTATGCCGCCATAACTTTTGAGCAAAAGGTCTTAGTTTTCTCGGAAATCATCCATTCAAAGACGAGATCTCGCGCTTTCTGGTGGGCCAATTAGATTCATTATTAGCACAAAATTAGAAAAATTCCACCAATGACGAAAAAAGTCGATACATTTGTCCCGACCAGAGTAGTAGTCCTTGTTGAACAATCACAACTAAACTAAGCAAGCGCCGCCAAAAAGCCCTGTGCAAAATTATGCCTCATATAATTTTATATACAAACAATATATGACGGTCAACGAGGTTTTACGACCTGGCCATCCCTTCGAATGTAATTCGACTGGTGGACGTACGGGATGGAAATTTGAGTGTCCCTCAAATTTCCATGCCAAAGACCGTACGCAGCGCAGTGGATGTCACCAAGTTCGACGACGTTTGCCGATTTATGCAAGCCAATCGCCCACAAGGACTAACAAAAAGGAGAGGCTTGACATCCTACGTGTCAATGCTTACCTCAGGTTCGACAACGCCACTGTTGAGTGTCGCAGGGACGTTACGTTCGAGGTAGCAACACTTCTTGGTCGGTCACGGAAAACAGTGTGTGGCGCCAATTCGTGCTTAACGACGCCATCACCACCGCACGTCTGCCATCCAACACTGCACCACGGGCGACGAGGATCCCACGAACGATTGAAATCGTCACCTCCGTCCAACAGTTCGTCCGTGAGAAGCGGCAACTTCGAGCCCGTGTTGTCGCGAAGGACGTGGCTGCATTCTTGTTGGAAACCGGGGCCCTTAACTACGACCCAGCTGCGCCAATTGAACGAACCTCAGCGTTGAGATGTTGTGCAGAAGTTTTTGAAGCACTGTGGGTACCTGCGTGGCGCAAAGAACGACAAGAAGTGGTTAGCACTGACTGAGAAGAATACAATCCTTCGTGACAGTTATGTTCGTTATATGTGCGAAGCAACACAACAAATTAACGCGATGAACCGCCGTACAGTCGTGTACCTCGACGAGAGCTTTATTCACCACTATTACAACAAAAGCGACATCTCCTTGTACGACCTCTCCGACGAGTTGGAGATCCAATCCAAACCAAAACACAAGGGGCGGAGGTTCTGTTTCATTGCTGCAATTGTGGATGGTGGGCCGTCGAATTCTGTTGTCCTCGCCTACGAAAAGTTCGTTCATGGAAAGCAAACCAAGGATTATCACGGGATGTTTGATCACCAGTACTTCGCTGCTTGGTTCGATCGGTTGTTGGACGCGTTGGACGTGGCTGGAATCACAAAAACAATTGATGTTATGGGCAATGCCAAATACCACAAGAGCGTACCTGATGACACACCAAGGTTTTCGTGGCGCAAGGCCGACTTGTTGGATGTTTGTGTCGCATTGGGGATCGAACACAATCCAGGGGACCTAAAGGTCAATCTTTGGTCAAAACTCCAACCTTACATGGCAACTGTTGTACCTGTCGTCGTGGAAATGGCCGCAGCAGCTGGCCACGAGGTTGTTTACAGAGCACCCCATCATTCCAACCTCCAGCCTATTGAACTATTGTGGGCGATTGTTAAAGGAGATGTGGGGAGACAATACAACACAAACACTACCTTTCGCGATATCGAGGTGCGTTTGGACGCAGCGTTTGAGGCGGTGACCTCGGCAATGGAGTTCGGCTGCATCAAGATGTCCTAGAAGGACCTATTGGAACTGCAACAGCACATTAGCATTATTGATGATGACGATTACGAAGACTCCGGCGGTTCTGCCGACGACCGTGGCAGCGTTCACAGCCTCAGCACGGACGATGGCAGTGACGAATGTGCATTTGACGACTCGTTTGAATTTGACCAGCTGCCTGTCACTTTGGATAATCGCAGTAATTGATATATTTTGAGTAGCGTATTTATAGAGTGTTCCTGTAGTTACGTGTATTATCGAAAACTGCTAAAAACTATGGTCCGGATACTTATTTTTTTAGACCCCTCGATGGCTAGTACGACGGAAACGATTCTGATTGGCTCCGTTCGTTTTGAAAAGTTACTTGGAAGAGGCCCTTACAAGAAGTGTGAAATACTTCAGAAAGCAGAGTCGAGGAAATGATCTAGTCAGCATATTCCCAAGAAATTTCTACAAAATATTAAAAAAAATTACAAATATTTAATTTAATTTAATATTAAATTAGGTTATAAATTACAGGTAAAAAGTAGACTTAACTGTGCCTCTGATCAATTGGCAGGACTTGTGAATCCATCGATCCAATCACCAACGGTTATCCAGACCGAGCCAAACCTATCATCCCCCGCCCCAGACACCGACGACCGTCCCAAACAAAGCCAAACTGATTGAACAGGACCAAGAACAGTCTGTTAATAGTGAACAAATACGCGTAGTGTAGATTGTTTACTTCGTCGACATACTTGGCTCTCCACTAGAACACAAATGGAACGTTCATCGAGGCGCTCTTCAACCTCAGAAAGAGAATGCGAATACCCATACGAAACGCATTGTCGCTGTTTTTGGCGAGTGTTCAACAAAGCATTGCTTGTACTGGTAGGTCCAGTCCCAGTGGTCAGAACAAAGTGGTTGATCTGGATTCGGCTGATCCCAAATCATTGCCGGGAAATGGATTCCAAGTATTGATGAGTACAATGCTCTGCAAAACGACGAGATATCACGTGTACAAAACCTGAAGGGGGAAGTGCATCCCTTGGGTTGTACAACGGTATCAAAATCGTCGGGTACGCTAACTACTACTAGTAGTATATAATTTACAATAAATTGATATGTATTCAATTTGCAGAATTTATTGACGAGGACATTTTGTTAACCCTACCAAATGTGGGCAAGACCACCGCGGCGAAGTTGGCGTCAATGGAAATTTCTACAATCGGTGAAATGCGACTCTCGGATCGGGCAACCAAATGTTGAAATTCCCATGGATTGACGAGCAAAATGGTTTACAACATTCACGTGTTGTCAGCGGTATCGAACGGCCTGAATACCGCTAATGTCGACGTAATCCAGCAACTCATACAAGTCGTTGTATGGCGACGACTGGGAAAGGCACATGGAGCATTGTACCCTGTTGAAACCCCACGTCTGAGTGACCAAGTTGATCGAGCATATTGGCGCTGCGTCGGCTGAGTGTATGCGTGAGACATCGCACCAAGAAACTTTGGTCTTCATGCCTGATGCATTGTCCCAAATGACATACGAATCGACGGTTCAATCAATGAATGACACCGTGGTACTATATCGATGGGTGTTTCCTGATATGGATCTGAACTCCGGAACGACTTTTTTTGCCGGAAAACCCGTGGGAAACAGCCCGGAATTTATGCCCTGGGAATTCTCCCTGAACAAGCATGTCGACGATGACTTCCATAGACACCGCCAACTCACCAGTCGGTTGCCTTCAGACAGTCCCTACACTCGGCTCAGCCTACCTGAGGCTCATGGATCCAAGTCATGGACCAAATGGAGGATCGCCTACTGGACAACGAATTCAGCAAGACGTAACGAAATGCCTTACCAATCATGTACTCGCCGTTATCGAATCCAGAATTGCTCCCGGTCGAATTTAAGAACAATTTTGAATGTGTTATGTCACTGAAACCAAATATACTTGACGTGGGCATCAATCAATCACCTCATCCGGATGATTTTGGCGCACATTTGTGACTATCGCCCCCGATTTGAGCGCGAATGTCAAATGTTTGAAACAATGGACCAATAGGATTAAGCCTCAAAACACAAACAGCCCCCGTTAACTTCAATCTTCCTTCATACCGTTGTACACACCCCACCCACAGCCGACCCCATGGATGCCCGCTACAACCTGGATGACCTGGAGGACTTTACGTTCGACAGTGTCATGCTGGTTACGGCGAATGACGCCAACTGTCTTCTCTGGTGCATGAGTGTAGGGCTCCTCAAAAGCTCTATGATCTGCCCTCACTGTACGAAGGACATGAAACTGTCTGCCGCCACCCACCGCCGACGAGCAACGTGTGGGTCCATCGAACGAAGTGTGAAGTCTGGATCGTTTTTGCCCAAGTCGAATCTCCCTGTCCGCACCATTGTGCGTATTATGCAGCATTGGGCCTCGCGACGCCCGGTAGCCGACGTGATCGAAGACCTACGTGTGGCCTCAGCAACCGCCACGAACTGGTACAAGTTTTGTCGCAATGTCTACTGTAAGAAATGCTTTCGATCGAAATGAATGTAATCCAATTCATATTACTTATATAATTTCGTATTAATTATTCGAATTCATATTATTTATTCATATAATTATTGGCATGCATATTTATTCGAATTTACTTCATATTTCATAAATATTACATATCAGAAGTTAAGGTGTTGTTATTATAATTGACAAGCTATTTAGAATGGTGGTGTTTGGTCCGTCGTTGAAATTGACATAATGTCGCTGAAGAAAAAATCCAAGTGCAACTGTGGTACGTGCCACCCAGAGTGTTGGTTGTTTGGCGGCGTTGATCAAGCAACCAAGAAGTGGTTTGGCGTGCTGACGTATGAAGACCGCACGAAGCCGGTGTTGTCTGCTCCCATTGGAAAAACATACGACCTGGAACCTTGATCATGTTTGACCAGTTCGGGTCGTATGTGTCCACCAATGAGAGCCACACATTGGTGAGCAATCCTGCGTTGACGGGCATGGATTACTCTCATCAGTTGGTAAACGACTCCGAAGACTTCGTCAACCCAGCCAACGGAGCCCACACACAAGGCATTGAAAGTGTGTGGGAGGTGCGTGTGAAGCAGTTCACGAAGGTTATGTGTGATGTTCATCGTGAACACCTTCCTAGATGACGAGTTCCTTTGGCGGCCGTAGTTTCCCCCCGTGGAGCGTGTGGTAATATGTTTTTCAAAGGACTTATAATTGCAATTGTTCGATCGTATTAATTTGGAGGACAAATAATAAAAAACATTAGACCTCTAGATCATAGATTCATGTTTTGACCAATGATTGTACATTTTACACGAATTATTATGAATTCATGGAGGGATTTTTCTGACTGATCAGTCATCAAGATAATAATTTGAAACTCTATCATTTGTCAAACGTCCACTACAAGAGAAATGATTGGATCTTTTAGTGGATGGTTAGTCAAGCATCAACCAATCAATGTTTTTGGAAATCACTCAGTCCTTTCCATGAGCACAGACTCGTTTATAGACCAATCACTAAACACACAAACTCGCACATCAGAGCAGCCCTGAACCAACCATAAACACAATCAAAAAGACCACTATGGCACGCAGAGCGAGTCTTCAAGGCTCGCAGGCTGCCCCGCCACTAACCTCACGCAACATCAGCCAAGGTCTAGCTCTGCTTACCAACCTCGACCAGCAACGCCAAGCCAAGAGAGCACGATACTCAACCGTACGCGCGGAAGAACCCGATGAAAACCTTGACTCCACAAGCCCAATCTACGACGCCTTCGTCGACGACCAAGGACCTGATGGTATTCTGACAATGACCAACTTCAGCCCGTCTGAGTTCAACATCTTGTGGGCGGACATTCGGCAATACCTTTCGAAGCATTGGAACACTGGTTCGGGGCGCAAATCCGAGGTCACTGGCCGTGACTTACTGCTGATGATGTTGACGTCACTTAAGCACTGTGGCTCATGGGACATCGTTGCCGCTGTGTTCAAACAAAAGAGTGCTACCTTTCAGAAGCGTGTGTTGACATATATTGGGGTTCTGCATCCCTTTTTCATGCGCAAATACGTTGCCGTGCCTGCCGACAAATGGACGATGTCGCAGCTAGCTCCCAACGGGGATCGCTTCACCAACTATCCCTATGCTCGCTATGCAACGGACGTTACCTTTCAACAAACGAATGTCCCTGCCGGAAGCTATGCTGAGAAGAAGTCGTATTACAGTGGCCAACACTCGCTCTATGGGCATAAGGTGGAAGTGTCGGTGCTTCCGAACGGGCTTGCAATCAATTGCACCAAGCACTACAAAGGCAGCGTTGCTGATAAGTCCATTTTCGACGACAGCTTGGAATTCCACGCGAATGGCCTTGCCAAATAAGGCGACGACGACCGCCTGGATGATCCTGAGCGAGTTGGTGGGGCACGTCAATGGGCGGTCCTTGTGGACAAAGGCTACCAAGGGATACAAAGAGAAGTTCGCGCGGTGCTTCCTACCAAGAAGCCAATTGGAGGCGTGCTGACGGCTGACGAATTACGTACCAACGACCGGATTGCCAGCGACCGAGTCATCGTTGAGAACTTCTTCGGTCGCTTGAAGACCCTTTGGAGCGTGTGCAGTGATATCTATGCATGGAAGCGTCAGAACTATGACATGTTGTTCCAAACCTGCCTGGCGTTGACGAACGTCCATGTGCGCATCCACAAGCTGCGTGCAGAGGATGGCGATGCAAACACCCAGTACGTCAACCGATTGATATCTATTGGTTCCAAGATCGTGAAGAACAAGAAGGCTGCGTCCCGAACTTACCGGTCGAAGCGCAAGGTCAGACTGTCGTTGGCCATGGCTGCAGAAAGTGCATTCACAGCGGCTGATCCAGGCGGAAGCGATACTGAAATCGGCTCGCATAGCGAATCGGATAGTGGAAGATTGTTCTACTAATTAGGAATGTTCTGTTTTCTTGGTTAAAAAAGGAGTATGTACTTGTGTTGGAGAATTTGAGCTAGGTTTTAACAAATAGTGATGGGTTAAATAAGTCCAATTTGTTCATCTTTTGTTAATAATTACCTTATAAAGTCATTCAACAAGGCTTAAAATAGGCTTTTGGCAGTTTAAACCATTGGAAATAACAATCGACATTTCGAAATGCATCACTGTTTTACAAAAACATCCGACATTTTGATCGAATACTTCCATACTTTTCAGTTGATTTCCATTTACTTTGAACTGTGAGAGTATGACAAAATACCTCGTGTCCAGTCAAGCATCGACTGTCTGGGTTAAAGGTCTATTGATTTCTTGTTTTTAATTCGACCGGGGGCAATTCTGAAGGAGTGCCCACCCTTAACGTTAGCAAATATCCCTGATAGAGTGCGACATTGGGTTTCAAAGGTGTGTGGCCATCCTGCCAGGGTTGGCATCACCTTATTTCCATTTTCGAGAAAACAACGTAGTCTATTTTGCTTGGCGCTAGCAAGGTACCACTCTGTCCCAAATCACTGACACGTTTGGACATTCTATTAGTTGTGAAATTAGAAAATAATCAATTTTATTAAAAATATTACCTTATCCAGTACTGTTGAGTCAATCACAAGGAGGTACTGTACATTTAGGGGACATTGACACCTTCCTGGAATTAAATTATACAGCCGAAGACCCTCTTGTTTTCGATATATTTGAGACAATCTCCATACACTCATAAAGTCCGGTGAACATTTGAAAATTTTGGGTTGAGCGGCTGATTTTATTTGAAGAATACACATGCAGTTTTTGGAAGAATGGCAATATGGTGCATTTCAACTAAAGACTACAAAAAAATGCCTTGTCTTTCGACAGCTATTCCAACTTTGTATTGATATTTTTTAGGAAAATAAGCCGTAATAACGATAGAACTGGTCAAGACCAACAGAACTTACGGTTCAAAATTTCGATTGGTGAAAAATTGATCGAGTAATAGAATTTAAACCAACCAGCCTTTTTGTACGGAAATATATGGAGCAAGGCACATTTTGGCCGAAAAGGAGCATCAAGTATATCTTGGTCTTTGTATACAGCACTTATCCGTATGAACGTTTCCATTGTATCCGGATTATTCAGGATGTTTAACCTATTTACCAGATAAAAAACGTAAGTAAAAATAATTTAACGTCAACATTACGGGGGTTTAACTGAAATAACTTAGGCGTTTAATAGTAAAACGTCTCCTCCTGATAATGGCCGATCTGTATTCTTTAGATGAAATGCACCATATAATTATATGGCCTTATAGCCAAGTTTCTTCTCTTTTGATTGGTACAAATTTCACACAAATCCAATGTTTGGTTATAAAACCGCTATGTGGCAAACATCAAACGTGTCAGTGATTTGGGACGAAGTGGTATTATTTTTTAGGGATGTACTGAATGCCACCATCTTAAACTATGCCATAAACCATTTTGGCAAATCTGCAAAACATTCCCAAATCTCGTATCCCATGAATAAATATAGAGAAGTAGTATCTACAAAGTTGTCTGAATGCCAGCTGATATTTTGAAAATATGATTCGATTT